TGTGGACTTGTTTTCAGTGGAGATTAACTGGCACCAGCCTGGAGGCAGGCTCAGCGGGTGATCTGATAGGGGCCGGTATCAGGGGAAGCGGATATTCTGGGCCAGAGTTCAGTCCTGGGGCTGAGTGGAACACACGCACGCACACACGCAAGTATGGGGAGAGGAGGAGAAAGCAGGGGAGAGGGTGACCTTCCCCTCACGCATCACCTTCCCTGCACAACTCCGCTCAGGAGACAGACTGATTGCCCTCCTCCTCCGGCTCAGCCCTGAGCCCGGGAGAACCCTGTCAAGGTTGATGGCCAGATTAAGTGAGCACAGGGATCGCGGCTCCCTGAGAACTAGGTACCTAGGTACGCTGCTCACGAGGGAAGGGTGAAGGTAGAGTGGAGGTCCTAGTGCCGCGGGCCAGCCACACCTCAGCCCAGCTGATTTCACTTTGCTGTAGGTCAGGTTCGCCGAGGAAGACTCAGAGCCCGGAGATCATCGGAATCTGGTGGACCCAGGAGTTCCTGCTTCTCCGGGACTCACAGTTCCTTAGAGCTTAGGCCTCTGTGGGAGTTTGGGGAACACAGCACAAGGCAGGGTTTGGGGGATTCAAATTATATCCCCCTGGAAGACTCCTGTTGCAAGACTCGGAGAGGGCTGGAGAGACAGAGGAGGGGTTACACCCATGCCTTGCACACAAGTGACTGGAGTTGGAGGCCTGAGCACAGGACCAGAAGTAATCCCTGAACACAGCCAGGTGTGACCCAAAAGCCTTCCTCCCCCTCCTCAAAAAGACTAATGAGATACATACAGTATGTTTTTTGGGGGGTGGGTGGGGGAGCTCTGTATAGGCATAAAGAAGCAAAACAGGGGAGACTGGCAAGGGCTGTAAACACACAAGGAACGCATCTCCACTGACTTTCTGTTGATGTCGGCAAGAAACTGTGGCAACTCTAAGCAACTCTAAGCGAAGGATCCCATTCGTGGCTTCAGGACAGGAACATGGGGAATCCACCACGGTCTCCATCCCAGACAAAAAGAGGGGGAACACAAGAGTTAAGACTCAACTAGGGACTGGAGCGACAGCACAGCGGGTAGGGCGTTTGCCTTGCACCCGGCCGACCCAGGTTCGATTCCCAGCATCCCATAGGGTCCCCCAAGCACCACCAGGAGTAATTCCTGAGTGCATGAGTCAGGAGTAACCCCTGTGCAATGCCAGGTGTGACCCAGAAAGAAAAAAAAAAAAGACTCAATCAGCTACTACATGCTGGAACCAGAACTCGGGCTCAGCTCGCTTGGCTGCAGAAAACCTGTGGTCTCTTTCCATCATGACCACATGGCCACAGGAGTTCATCTCCGGGGCAAAGTTCAGAGATGCTTCCAGAAAGCTCAGGCCACTGATATTTCAAACATCCAGTTTCGAAGCCGATCCTGGCTGGGGTGAGATAAAGAGGCCGATTAGAGGCACCTAGCAACAGAGCTGGGAACCAGAAATGGCTCGAGGGGCTGCAGGCAGCGATGGGGAGATAGAGGCCTCAGAGGGACAGTCACCAGGCAGCTGATTTCCAAGTCTTCCTTGGTTTCCTTCCCGCTGCCTTGCCCGCCACACCCTCACTTTGGTAAGGAGGCTGGTGGCTCGGGGCATGGGGACACCGGCAGAGGGACATGGGCGCTGGTGGTGGGATTGGGAGCGATAGCACAGCGGTAGGGCGTTTGCCTTGCACGCGGTCAGCCCGGCCAACTCAGGTTCAATTCCTCCTCCCCTCTCGGAGAGCCCGGGAAGCTCCCTGCGACATATTCGATATGCCAAACACAGTAACAAGTCTCACGAGGGAGCCGTTACTGGTGCCCGCTCGAGCAAATCGATGAACAACGGGAGGACAGTGCGACAGTGCTCCTGTAGGCCTAAAACTCGGCTCTCAAGAATTTAGTAAATCATGGTTCTCGAATGGAAATATTTAAGAACTGCAATACCGGGAATAAAAAAATCTAAGAATCTAGTCAAGAGCGGGAGAGATTCCCCTGGCAAAGCGCGCACTCTGCATGCACAGGTGCGCGCCGCGTGCTTCTCTGAGCACATCTGGGAGTGACCCGTGAGCCAGTGCTGGCAAGCCCCCCAAAAGAAAATCAGGCGTTCCTGAGAGCCATAGAGCGGACAAAGTCACAGGGAAGTTTCCCTCCTGGGAAAGGCGCCTGGCGGTGCAGACTGACAAAGCACCAGAAGGAGCCGGGTGTCAGGGGGTCCCCCAGGCAGCCCTCCTGCGCTCAGCCTGACATGCACTAGCAGGTAGAGGGGGCGGTGGCTCTGCTACTGGGTCTCCACGTGGCAAATGAAGAAACTGAGGCAGCACATTTGGTGCTTGGGCTAAAGACACCAGACCTGGAGCGTCTTAGGTGCCAGGCCCTGTTGCAGGGAGCTCCCATCTGTCCACCTCTAATGCAATGGACCACCTTTGACACGGGTGCTAGGGAGGACCCGGCCAATTTCCAGACTCCAGAAAAGCACAAAGGGAATACATTCTCTGCTGGGTTTCACTGGGGCGTTAGGGGTAAGGCAGGGAGAGGCGTTTCCGACCTGCGGGCGGTCCTCCCAGCACATGGCCATCATCTCGCCCCGCCCTCTCCCTTCTCTGCCCACTTTCCTCTGTTTTCGGGGGGCAGTAGCTAGAGTTTCCATTTCTCCACGGGTCCCAGAGGATCCAGAAGCGGCTCCTCCGGAGAGAACGGCTTGGGGGTGGGGATGGGGGTCTCTGCTCACCAGCTGCAAACGCTGGTGTTTCTGTTTGTTTTTAAATTCCTCTTGGGACCGTTTACCCGAAGGAGGATGGAGACATTACCATTCCTGGCTTCTTTGTTTGTACTTTGAGACCACTCCCAGAGGGGCTCCCAGAGGGTGCAGGTCAAGCGCCCGGTTCCCGGTACCACCTCCCCCACCCCAAGACAACATTTCTAGAACTTCGCCCTCTGGAGATGTTTGCTCTAGCCTGAAGCAAGTCAAGCCAAAGGCCTACAGTCGTGTCCTCTAGTCCGGCCGCTGGGCGCTGGCCTGTCCTCCCACAGGTGTCCTTCCGTGCGCCGGAACGCCGTGGCCAGGCACGGCTGCTCCGGCCTGGACGCGGTGCAAGGACAGCCGGAGTGGCCTGACCCGGGGGCAGCGCAATGCCCCCGCGCGCCCCTCTCCGCCGCCCGCCGCCGGCCGTACCCCCCTGCCCACTGCCCCAGGAAGGTGCAATGACAGTCCTTGCTTTCCTTCTGCCCCTGGCGGCGGCCGGTCACCCTCCCCGCCACGTCGACCCCCGGCCTGCGGCAAGCGGTCAAGCTCTTCTTCAAGGGCACAGGGGACAGTCTTGAAGAGGGCGGGGCTGCGGGGGGGGGGCGGAGGGCGCCCCCCGGGCGGGTGGAGGCGGGCGGCGGGGGCCTGCCGGGGGCGCTGCCTTCTCCCGCCGCGGGCGCACCCCACAGGTCGGCGGGGCGGGCGGGGCGCCGGGGGACCCCGCCCCGCCGGGGAGTCTGGGGCGCGCGGGCCGGCGGCTGGGCGGGCACCGACGGGCGCGGAGCGAGCGGTCCGCAGGCGCCACCAGGTGAGCTGCGCGCGGCCGGGGGGCGCGGGGCTGGGCCGAGGGGTGGGTGGCGGGGGGTGCGGGCGCCCCGCCGAGGGCACCGGCCCGGGACTCGGGGGCCAGCGCCCTGAGCGCACCGTCCTCCCGAGAGGCGGAAGCAAGTTGCAGGTGAAGCTCAGCCCGCGGTGTCCTCCTTCCGTCCCCAACCCCGCCCGTGTCCCCGAGAGGCCAACGCCCGCCCGGCAGCTTTGAACCCCGGGTTCTCAGAGCCGGGCGGTTGCGGTTTCGGCCCTGGGGCAAACCGTTGCTCCCCCAAGTGAAACCGCCGCGGCCTGGTACCCAGCCAGACGCTCCCCCCACTCTCCCCCTCCAAGCCCGGCGGTCCCGCGCCCTGCTCCCGGGAGCGTCCCTTGCTGCTCGGGCACCTCTGCCGGCCGCCCCTCCGCGCCCCCTTCGCGCGGAGCCCTCCCCGTCGCGCCCGGGCCCCGGGGACCCCTCTGGGGCGCTGGAGGCTGGAGTTCCGCTACCCGCGCGCGTCGCGGTTCCCGAGACCCCGCCCGTCGGGCGCTCGCCTCGGCTGCCTCCTCCGGGCCGGGGCCGCAGCCCCCCCAAACCCCCCCCCCCCGGTTCCCCAGCTTCCAGGGCCCCCACGCCCCCTCCGGTCGGACCCCCCATCCAGGCCCTCGCGGTTGGGTAGCGCCCGTCCCCTACCCCCCCACTCCCCACCCCCGGTCCCCTGCCCAAGCCCCTCCGGGCCTTCCTCCTTCCCAGTCCCTGGGGGCGGCCCACCCTGCCCAGCCCCTGGGGGCCGCACCCCTGCCCAGATCCTGGGGGCTGCACCCCTGCCCAGATCCTGGGAGCCCCCTCCCCGCGCCCAGCCCCAGAGGGCCGTTCCCCTACCCAAACCCTCCGGCCACCTCTCAGTCCCACCCCTGCCCTAATCCTGGGACCCCCTCCTAAGCGCCCAGCCCCAGAGGGCCGTTCCCCTACCCAAACCCTCCGGCCACCTCTCAGACCAACCCCTGGGGGCCGCATCTCTGCTCAGGTCCTGGGGGCCGCACCCCTGCCCAGATCCTGGGGGCGGACCCCCCTCTCCCCTCCTCTCCTAGCCCCTGAAGGCCGCCCCCACCCCGGCCCGGCCCCTGGGGGCCGCCCCCTACCCGGATCCTGGGGGCCGCCCCTGGCCCAGCCCCGGGGGCCGCCCCCTGCCCAGCCCCTCGGGCCGCGGTCCCCCGCCCAGCGTCCCCTCCCCCCCGGCCCGCCCGGCCCGCCGGAATCGCGGGTTGGGCGGTGACTCAGCCGGCGCCCGCCCGGCCGGTTCTTAAGCTGCGGCGCGCGGGGCGGGCTCCGAGTCGGGACGCAGCGGCGCGGGAGCGGGACCCCGAGCAGGAGCCGGAGCCGGAGCCGGAGCCCACCGAGCGCGAGCCCGAGCAGGAGCCCCCACCCACTAGCCGAGCCCAGGCCGCGCGCTCAGGTCCGCTGTGCCCCCAGGTGCGAGCACTGCCCCGCGAGGAGAAGAGCGTCCGGGAAGGAGGAATCCGCCGGGAGCCGAGATGCCGAAGCCGGTGAGTGACGGCGGGTGCGGCCGGGGCGCGCGGCCCCTCCCCGGGGCCCCGAAGGAATCACGCCCGCGCCCCCCCCCCCCCCAGACCCTTCTGTCGGCCGTCGGCCCTGGCACCCCCTTGGGAAGCGCCGCTGGCGAGTTTCTGCGAAAGTCGCGGAGTCGCGGGCCGGCAGGTGGCTCCCCAGCTCCGCACCCCACCCCGCCCCGCACCCCGACTCCGCGGGACGCCCCCGGCCCGGGCGGGCGTGTGCGGCGGGGGAGCCGGGCTGCGTGCTCCGGGGGGTCGGGGCGGGCCGGGGCGCGGTGGGGTTCCTCGGGGAGCGGAGCTGCAGGTGGAGGCGCCCCGGACCCCGGGGGTCCGACTGCCCCCACCCGCGAGGTCGCTCGGCCAGGCCCGGGGTGTTGGCGCCTTGACCGAAGTAGGGGAACAAAGCCGGTTCTTGGAAAGTTGGGTGGGTGCGACCTGCTGGGGCGCCCTGCGGGATGGGGGGGGGTGCCCCGAAATCTTTCTTGAGTTCTGAATTGCGGTGGAGGAAAAAAAAAAAAAGAGCTTGGATGTATTGAGCCGTTTGTTCTGGGAAGTTTCCTAGTTTTCCAGGCCAGTCCTCAGCGCCCTCTCGTTGTTTTAGGTGCTTTCTCGAGCCTGTCAAAGGAAGTCTGCATTAATAAAGTCCTATTGTTCCGTGGGCTTAAATAAATTACTGGGTTAATATGCTAATAGATTCAGAAGCCATTATAGTGTTTTTTTTTTTTTGCCGGAGTTACATCACCAAAGATGACTCATTCGTGATTCAGAAAAAATTCTTTCCTACACAAAATTCTTCTTTTCATTTTAAACTTGCCAGTGACACATGCCATCCGGGCTTCACAATGCCCACTCGACAGACTGACCCAAATACGGCCCTGTCCCTGCCTGGGCCAGGCGTGGGCTTGGGAGGGGGGGGTGGAGGGGGGGGAAACCCAGGGACATGGGCGTGGCTTTATTTCACTCATAGGGAAGTTTGGGGTTTAGACACAGTCACACCCATTTCCATCTTCCTTTCTCATTTCTTTAAATAAGCTGTAATTTCATATCTAGTTTCTGAGTGTTTTTTTTTTCTTTTTGGGTTACACCCAGCGATGCTCAGGGGTTACTCCTGACTTTGCACTCAGGAATTACTCCTGGCGGTGCTCAGGGGACCATATGGGATGCTGGGTATCGAACCCGGGTCGGCCGTGTGCAAGGCAAACGCCTACCCACTATGTTATCGCTCCAGTGCCTCTGAGTGTTATTATAACTATATACCTCACATCCCACACACCATCCTATTGAAGCGCCCAGCTCCTCAGGCCATCTCCCTATTCAATTCTAGAACCTTCTTCCCTTCCCAAAAAAGGCTCTTCCCAGGCATGCCCCCTCTCGCCCACTCTGGCCCCAACTGCGCCCCAGACCAAGGAGGAGTTCAATGGTGTCTGTCCCCGGCCACTGTGCCCCCAGCAGTCTCCCGGTGTCCGTCCCTAGGGTCCATCCAGGAGCTGGTTTCTGGGTCGAGTCACCTTCCCTTTCAAGACTTTCTGCCAGCAGATGTGTTGGCCTTCCTGGCTCCCGAGGCCTTTTATGGTGGGTCAGAAGCAGCCCTGACCCAAAATGACGCCAGAAGGGCACTTCCTGCCCTGAGTCAGTTACCGGGAAAACCTGCTGGCAGCCTTATTCAATAGACCATCCGTAGGCTGTAGTTTTGGAGAGGTGTTGAGGTCTCTTCCTTAGAGGTCAGTTTGAAAGGAAGTTCCTGCTGCCCCCTATGGTTGGGATTCCCTGGAGATTTTGTCCCCTGAAATCCTTAACTGAGCTCTTCTGGCACGGGAGCCCTTTTCAGTGGGGTACTTGGAGACTGTTACAGAGTAGCTTCTGTTTGTTGTGTTAGCTACAGTGTTGGTGCTAGCACCCACAGTCCACAGGGCTCTCAGGGTTCTCGGCCCAGCCCGGGCTTTTGTTAGGTGGTTTCCCAGCGATCGGCTGTTGGTCGCCAGGGTTGAACAGCAACTGAGCTTGGCTGGGCTTGGTGCTCCCGGCTTCCGCCCACCAACTGCTTCTCATTGGTGGGTTCAAACTGACTCAGGGCGTGACGCCTGTGCCTCCAAAATGAAGTGCGGTTCATTTCTGTTCCCACTTTGAGTCCAAAGTGGACTCTCATTCTCTGAAGCGAGTGTCCGAGCAGACTGCCGAGGACAGCCCGCAGAGAGGGACAGTGGACCTTGGCCCCTGGGAGTTCAGTGTGGGCCGCGCCCAGCTCGCCCAGGCCTCCCAAGGTCGGAGGTCTCCGACTGGAGCTGCCTACCCCTGGGGCCCGGGGGGAGGCGCAGACTTGCTTGAGGAAGCCCTGACCCCCGCCTGGTGCCATGCCTAGGACTAGAAGGACCCTCGGTCTGGCCCGGGGCTGGCTCTCGTGCTGTTGTCGGCCTGGGCTGTCTCGCAGCTGTCCGGGCCTGTGCTGGTGACTGGCTGACTTCCAAGGGAGGTGCTCGGGTCCAGAAGGCACCAGCCCCTTTGCCTGCTGGCTGTCCCGTCCCGGAGAACCCTCCCTTGGGTCTGGGGAGAGGTGTGCCTGGCCAGGCGGGTGAGGAGGAGGCTGGTGCAGCCCTATCACGCTGGTTTCGGGTGACAGTCGCAGTGAACTGCCTTTCAGCGGCCTCCCTGGTGCTCTCCTGGAAAGCGACGTCAGTAACAGGAGAGTTGACTTGCTGGTTCGGAGGGGCCTTGAAAAGCTCCCTTAAGCTGAGCCAGAATCCAGACCTCTGATCCTGAGGGTGCCTTGCCTCGGAAGGACACAGGCCTTGTGCGGACTATTTGAGCCTTGAGTGGGCATCTGTGTGACCCCCTATCCCAGCCACCCAGTGCATGCCGGCCCCTTCTGTAGTCACCCAGCTCCCCATGGGCAGATGGTGGGTGGGGAGCCGGGTCCCGGGCAGCAGAGGAGGATGCTGGCTGCACATGGCCATTTGTTGGCTCCCAGCTGATCCGCATGTTGGCCCACTCAGCCCTGCAGCGGATTTACCACCCCGTGATGGGACAGACCGAACCGCTGGAGTGTATATAATAACGGGAAGGGGGGCCGGGGTGGTCTGGGGGAGAATGTTAATCTGGGAGGCCAGCAGGGCACCCCAGGAGGTGACGGCTGCACCACAGAGCACTGTAGGGGACTCTGGTGTTCTGCAGGTGTGGGGGCAAGGGGGAGGTGTCGAGGGTGGGGTGGGGTGACGGCCCTGTGACAAGAGGGGTGCAGAGACCAACGCTCCAGACCTCAGGCCCTGCTCCTCACGTTGTAGCTCCACTGCGAGTTGGGCGGGAAGAGGCCGAGCAGCTGCCCCGCATGAGGCGGCAGGAGGGAGGTGGTGGGTTGAGGGGGCTCACCTGGTGGCAGGTTCTGAGTTTGGACGAAGCGGGCTACAGTGGACCCTTAAGCCACGAGGCTTTGGACTCTGGGGTCCACTGAAAGGTGGTTGGTTGTTGGTTCCATACTCAGGGATTCAGCCAACCTTGGATGTCAGTCGTGACTCCTGGGCTGTGGAAGCTGCCCCCTGGATTGGAGTGGAGGTGGGGGCCAGGCCCGTGACCCCCAGCATTGTTCAAGGTCCAGTGATATTCATGCACTGGGCGATGGCGCAGAGGTGCCGGGGCAGAGGGCATTGTGGAAGGCTGACCGCCCACATTGGCTCGCCCAGCTGCCTGGACCTGGGGACCCACCCACCCACCCCCGCTCCCCTGAGATGGGGGCCGGCAAGCGCACAGGTGTGGGAGGAAGGGTGGAGTGTGTCGCACACGTGGAGGTGGTTGCAAGGAGGCCTCGCTGCCTTCCTAAATGCTGCCCTTCCGCCCTGTCTAATGCCAGACCACCAGAAATGGCAGGAATTTGAAACCCGCGGAAGCTCATCCTAATCTGAGCTCCTTACTTCTCCCTGTGTGTGCGGGGGTGAGGGCGTTTGGGGTATCTGGGGAGCTGCCGCGCCTCCTGGTCCGCGTGGCTCAGCAGTGGGTCACTTGCAGGCCTCAACTGGGCAGTGACCTGAGGCCTCTCAAGTGCTGTCTGTCTTTAGTTTTCAGTTTGGGGCCACACCCAGTGCTCACCCCTGCGGTGATGGGAACCAAGGAAGTCCGGCTTCCTGCATGCAAAGCGGGTGCCAGCCTGCGGTTGTCTCCTGGGCTGCTAGTCTTGAAGGGGACAAAAAAGAGGCGAGATGGTTTCCTCCGTGGAGAGGCCGGGAAGGCACTCTTGATTCTTGTTTTTTGGTGCTTCTTAGCCCTCCCCCAGAACCCCAGTTCCTTTCATAGGCTTCTCTGGTCCTACAAACAAAGAAATTGCTAACAGAATTTGAGTAATTTTGTTAAGGTAAATTTTTTAAAGGTAAATTTGAGTAATTTTGTTTGGGTAAGAAAACATTTTTCATTTAATTTTTTGGGGGGTGCTACACCCAGGCTCTGTGTTCAGGGGTTACTCCTGGTGGTGCTCAGGGGACCATATGGGATGCTGGGGATCAAACCCAGATAGGCCACGTGCAAGGCAAATGCCCTACCCACTGTGCTATCTGTCTGGCCCCCAGGAAACATCTTCTAAATAATGGAATTTAGATACTTTTTTGGATAACCTGGACTTCTTGCTCACCTGCTTTCCTATAAATTAGTTTAGTGTTGAACAGCAGAGTGTGTATTTGAACTCAGTGAATGGATTTACACTTTACTCCAATTCACACTTAAACATGTCTGATGTTTCACTGTGATGAAGTGTGGGGAATTTATTGAAGGGCAGATGTTTGTATTTTCCATCTGACATCCTTACCTCTGTGTGTGTTGGTATAAAGAACTTCTTCCAGACTTCTGCACGTGGTCGTTTTTTGTTTCGTTTTAAAAGGAAATAGAACCTTGTGTTGCATATCATTTAGGCACTTTAAATGGCAATAAAATGTCTTTTGTCCGTCAACGTACCTACCAAATAAAATTAAAATGCCTAAAAACCTTCAAATTAC